TTGAAGAACCGTGTATCGACCGTTCGAGGAGATGGTCGGTGACTGGGTGCTTCCTTGCCTTACTAGTGCCAACAGATCAGGGTCCTTATCACCTCTAGCAGTCCATCGGGCCTTTACTAGCTCTTCTCCAGTATCGTCTAGCTTTTCAACGAGTACTAGCTTGCTGGGCACGATGCGGTCTGGTTCTGTCTGCCTGGACTGTTCGATTGACAAAGGTCGAAGGGCCTGCTTGTCTTCTACTACGTTTTGGACTTCTTTCCGGATTCCTGCCACAAGCTTTCGTTTGCCGTCTGCGCTCGTCCATTTGTCTAGCTTGAGATCCAGTTCATTCCTACCTCCGGCAAGAAGCACCTGATCGGATTCATGGTCCGTGCACAAAACAAAGTCTTCGCATTCTTCCGCAGTGGAGAAGGCAACAGCATTTTGACATGAATCATGCACACAATGGACCTTAGGTACCAATCCATGTCATGCGAACTTGCACTATAGAACTGGAACTCGGGACAGGGATGGCATCTGGCAAGACTTGTGGGTTTACCGGATGTGGAAGTGATGGTGGAAATGTCTGTCCCCCAACAACTTGTGGTTCCACTGTTCTCTGACGTTTCTCCGGCATGGTTTCAGTCTGCTCTGGGTGTTCCTTTCGAACATGTCCATCCAGTCGATCAGCTCTGCGCACGGACTCTTGCCATGACATAGCTCAAACGTTCTCTCAGACTCTTTTCACTGCGTCTGATGCTTTCAATGTCTTGATCTTCTCCAGGTGAGTGTTCTTCACCTCTTGATCTTGAGCGTTCAGACGTCTGTCCAACGAGGACGGAGTTCTTGGCACGGCACTGTTCTCTGGCGTCCTAGGAACAACAGGTGGTTCCGTTCCGGCGGCATTGGGTGCCTGGTCTTGTCGGCAATCCGCCAAGTCTGACATTGATTTGTCAAGTCACCTGGTGGAACATCTTCAGCGGTAATGTCAAAATAACATTTCTGGTGGGGCCGATAGGAATGCCCTACCTCCGGCCAAAGCGATGCTGCTGCAGATCGAAGGTCCCGAACCAGAAATCTATCTGCTTCCCTCTCTTCGGCGGTCCTCTGAGTTGCTCTGGAGCACACGTGACAAATGACCGGGGCATTGATACCCAGTAGTTACGCCCAGCGCTACCTGCAACTATTCCTGGACCTCGCCAGCACTAGACTTCTTTATTCCTTTACCCCGTCGCCAGATAGCTACTTCATCACCTACCCGAAACTCTCGAAGTGGTCGTGGTCTGCTGTTCAAAGCAATTCTGGCTGCTCGGTGATCGAGCTGACGCAGCATCTCTTGCCTGGCTACGCTTCTGGCTCGATTTTGGTATTCAGCTATGGCATTTTCTAAAATGGCACTATTGCTGATTGGATTAGGTTGCTCCGAACATAAGTCGTCTCCTGGAAATTCAGATCTCTGCCAAGGGTCTCTGCCGAAGACCAGCTGGAAGGGACTGTGACCAGCCCGACGCATCAAGGCATTTCTTGCTTCGATCGTGACATCCACACATTCCTGCCATTGCAAAAGTCTTGGGGAGACATCTGATCCACAACCCTACGAAAGGTCTCTTCAAAATGCCATCCCTGACTCTCAACGTCTCCCATCTGTTCATGTGCTTCGCCAGGAATATCTAGAGGTGTGGTGCCATCACGCTCGAGCATGTCTAGAAATGTCTGTCCAAGATTGCACCGACTTGCATCGAACTTCACATGCCTTGGCCGACCATACGATCTAGTCCAGTTGCGATACAACCTACCGATGACCTCCGCCGCTTCCTGCTCTTTGAACGGATACATCTGTTGCAAACCTGACATGCGACACACGACATTTAGAGCTTTGATCTTCTCATGTGGTTTCCAAGATGGCAAATGTTTGACGTCTAAACCTATGTACCGCAGTGGTGCGATGTCTCGCGGCGGCGCTGATTCCTTTGCCACCTTTGGTGCAACCCGGGCTTGACAAACGCTGCACTCAAAGCTCTTCACTAGTTCAAGCACTGACTCCTGGGCATGATGGTGTCGGAGGATTCGAAGCATATCGGCTCTTGATGCATGGCCTAAATTTACATGTAGCTTGTTGATTGCTCTCTCAACCCTCCTACGACCTTCGCCTTTCAAATCTCCCTGCACTGTTGCCTGACTCACGGCCATGCACTGACATGCAATTGCTTCACGTTGGGCCATTGCTCCTAAAATGATCCTAATCAACCGGTTGGGATATACCTGAGTACGGATTGATGGCAACATGCCGGCCGATGTGCCTTCAACGACTTGGTGCTCATGGTTCTTGTCACAGGTCAACTTGCCCAGAGCTGCCGCCACGGTCTGGCAGTTTGTCATGAATCGCCAACTCTTTCCAAACAGAAGTCCGGTCTGTGGGTCCCTTAAGCCTACTGAGCATGCGGGTACATCTATTAGGAAAGGACTATGCTTGCGAGCAAAGGCTTGCATCTCCGGTGTTCGCCAAGCACCACTGGTTTTGGACGACTCGGAAACAAAGAAACGACCGTGTTCAATCCTCAATTCAGCCTGGTTCAGTGACCATCTGATCATGTCCTTAGCCTGCTTGACCTCTAGTTGATGTCCTTTGGGATCACTTCTCCTATCTTCTGGGGTCAAGTTCTGCATGAGTGACAGCGGTCCACAAGGTGGTGAAAACACTGAAAAATCAGGATCGGCGATGGTAATTGCCTGTTCTGCTCTAGTTCTATCTTCCTTCCTCCGCCAATCCCATCCTTCACTCAAATCCGAGGCACCTCGTCCAACCATGCCACACTGCCCTGCCAGTTCTTGGAAGCGACCCGGCGAAAAGAACTCCATCACCGTAGGTGCCTCACATTGGTTCTGAGCCAGAACTGCTGACATGTTCTCTGCCACCTGCTTTCTCTCCTTGGCCTTGAACACACAATGCACGCCAATCTCTTCTTCATCTTCCTCCTGGCTGGAGGCCTTATGAAAAGCATCTACTTTCATCACGTCCACCTCGGGTGAGGTGATGCCCACGCCCTTCTCCATGTCCAGCAAATTGATCTGGTAGGAGTTGTCCTTCATCTCATGAATTGGCGCTGCAATGCCAGCCTTTGTCATAACCAGCTTGTTGGTGTTCAAGTCGATCATGGGTCCAAGGCTCTTCAGCAGCCCCTTTGAAATCAACAGTGGAACATCACCTGAAACCACATGTAGCCTCACACGAAGTTCCCGACCAGCCACAAATACTGGCAGCTCCACTCGTCTTCCAGTGCGATCTGCTGAGCCGTTGTCATACCTGAAGGTGTGCATCTTCTCAGGCAGTTCCTTGTAGCAATGACCATGTTCCTCTAGGCGTTCAATGTGCCTCGCCAGTGTGTTTTCACCGACCAAGCCACGGCCACATCCAGTGTCCAGGGTTCCATATCCTGCGGCATGAACCAGGCCGCAGTTGCTCTCTTGCGGTCGTGATTCTCCATCTTCTTCACCACTGCTTGGCTCCTTGAAAGCCCCCGGAAATTCATCTCCTTCGACCATTTCCCATTGATCGTCTTGTTGAAGCTCCTCCACCTCCTGGTCGACACCCTCCACCTGGTAGGCATATTCACTGCCGTACACCACATCCTCCGGGTCGAACAGGCGGAACAGAGCCTCATCACTCAACTGTCGAAGGTCTTCTGGTTCTGGATCACCATGACCTTGTACGCGGTAGAAGATGGTCTTTCCAGTCCATGTCTTGTCTGTCCTGCGGTGTGCCTCCAAACTGTTCTTCCAGTTCGGTGCAAACTGCTCTTCGGTCGTGCCATCACTGTTCTTCATGACAGTCATGCGGGCCATACTCAATTCATTGAGCGGTATTGGACAGCCAGTTCGAGCAGGGCTGAACAAGAAGTCCTTGGGATGATGGCGAATGACTTCTTTCTCATCGAAGGTCCAGCTGTCACGAGGTCGCTCTGACCAACTGCGCATCACGGCATCAATCTGGCTCTCCCCGTCGTCGGCAGCTGATTCATTCACCATACAAACGAAGCTCACCTTGGTCGAACTGCTCGAGCTATCACCTTTTCCTCCATCCTTTCCCTTGCGCAAAGGGCAATTGCGGGAGAAGTGGCCCACCTTCTGACACTTGAAGCATTTGACACGGGCTTCCAGTTTCTTCAAGCCACCTGAACTTAGCCCGCGTGATAGTTTTTCCTTGGAA